CTTTCCTGTCAAATCAAACGTTTTCATCTGTGTTTTGATATTTGTTTCACCTTTAACATTAGTATTGCTGAATTTATAAACATGGGTTTAGTGAAACATCAACGAGCCACTTTGATATTTGTTTTGGTCACTTTCATGGTTATTGTTTTAGCTCGAGAAGCTTCAGCAGTCAAAAACACAACCAGTGCTGAAACCGAAAAGGAAAGTGACTCAAATTCATCATCTGAGGAGGATAAGAAGAGCGACAAATCATCCAAAGAAATGGGTACAACCAGTAGCAACAATGATACCAACAGCACCAAAAGTGGTAACGAAACCAAACCAGAAAATGGTGGATCAGAAGCATCCAAATCGTCGTCTTCATCATCATCTGGAGGCAAAAAACCTGGTAACTCTAAGGAACGAAAAGGTTAATTGATTAATGGTTTGATTTACATGGACAATTATGGAAAATTTCACGAAAATTGGTTCTTTTTTCTTCTCTTATTGAGTTATCTCGTTTTCACTTTGCTATTAATACATTCACCATTGTTTAACTTTGATTCATTGTCAACAAATTACAACATGTAATCAAATATCATTGGAAAAAAATTCAATAAATTTTAATAGAATTGACAATTTAAACTTTATTTCATTTTTCTTCCTAAATTGTGAGTAAAACATTATTGTAGATAAACATGTTGATGTCGGTAGTGAAACTAGAAATGACAAAACTCAATGGTGAATAACTTTCATTCAATAAAAGCAAATATTGTTAAGATTCGATAATCCCAAAAATTTATTGAAAATTTAAGTCTTAATAGTTATTCATATACAAAGTGTTAGTATAATACATATTTAGGCAACGTTTTACAGGCGAAAATCATTTCTCGATGATTTCATTTAATATTTCCAGCCAATTTTGCAAATCTAAATTGAAGCCAAATCTTGACCTAGGCTGGATTGGAGCCGGTGTAGTTGTGGTTGTTGTTGTTGTAGTCAACATTTGAAATTTAACTCTGTTGATTGCCTTTTCCATCTCTTTAAACAAACCACAATTGTAATCTACTTTCGCACATTCGCGAGGATGCAACAAACTGCGAATAAAAACCTTTTCGCTTCTATCCAAGAATGAATTACTATCCAATTGGGTTGAATTACTCCAAACTTTCGAAGCCAGGAATTTAATCAAAGGAACATTTTCACCTGTAATTCGCCCAATTTCACAAGCAAACTCTTCATTACAATTTGCACGATTCAGACCAAACTCATCAAAAATCAAATCCAATATTTTAAAACGGGAGAGATTGTGAACACTTGAATTGTAACCAGATCCATTGATGAATCGATTGTACTGTAAGGCCATGTCTTTCGCTCCAGATTGCAGTGTAATTAAACTTCCAATAATAGAGATGATCAAAGTGACTGAAGGAACAACCAGAGCGTTAAAAGTCGGTGTTACTAAACTGATGAACTCCGGAGCTGAAGCTCTGGCAACACTGAATAAAACATTATTGTAAATAAACATGTTGATGTCGGTAGTGAAACTAGAAATGACAAAACTCAATTCGTTTCTTATGTCTTTTATAGTCAACCACTTTAGCTTCTTAAAATTTTAAAGCGCTTATGGCTTTCAATTGTAAGATTGAGTTTGAGATTGACTTCTTTGTGTTATTATATTGTTTATATTGAGCTACAAATTTCGCTGAAAGGCGGATTAGATTACTTGTAATTTCGGTGTTACTAGAAACTCATTGATACAATTGAAAATTGAACGGCATTTAAATCGTATCTCTTTAATGATATTTAAGCTAAATGAAGTGAAAAAGTCAATTTAATAAATAATATTTCTTTCTTGCCATTGCTTTGTACTGGAGTCTAAGAAAAGCAAGAATTGAAATACGATCAAGTGAAATTTGATTGAATTTTCATCATATTCATGAGAAGCTGCAATTTGATCTCTATTATTGCAAAAAATTTGAAAAAAAAACTGTTTGTTATTTTGGAAAAAGACAAGACAGAGTAAATCAAATATTCGGTTAGTCTAACTATGTTGTTTTCAAATCAAAAAATTGAAAAAAAGATTAAATCTTTTCATTGATGTTAACCTGGCAAAGAAGAGGTTATATTTCTTATACCAACAATTTATTTAAAGCTCAATTGCATTCACTGATGAAATAAAGATGAACAATAAAAAAAGATCAAGTAATTCGACGATTCAAACATGATTGTCTCATTTGATCAGAAATTTTTTACCAAAAAACCAAAAATGGTTTCAATCTAAGTGATACGACAATCAAATTACCAGAAACTGAAGCTAAATCTGGGTATACAGTTGGACATTCTGGTTCCAGGATTCAACCAATTTGCACTAATTGTTGTTTTTAATCAAGCCAATTAAAAAGTCTTTTCTGATCTTCAAATTTTAGCCAACTATGTTTAACAGCTTTGGGTAATTGTGTTGACTCTCAGTCAGGTTGATTCATTTTCTGGTTCCTGGGTTGAAGACTTTTAAACGAATTAGAAGAAAGTTTGAAGTTGCACTTTCATGAGAATTGAAAATAAAATGCAAACCAAAAGATAAACTGAACAAGTTGAACAAAAATTGTCTAACTAAATTAGATTTTAAGTTATCCAATCTGAATCAGTGAATAAAATATCTAGAGAATTGCATTTATCTTCAACTCTTTTGATCTTTACTTTTCTTTTTCTCCAGCCGTATTTGTCTTCCTTTCCGTTCCTTTCCATCAGATCAACAAGATAATGAAATGAGAAATAAAATGTAAGACGAAGATGATGATAAAGATGAAAAAAGTAAGCACTGTTTTGCATTTTCATTTGCCTCTGTAATTGGATGTCGGGTAATCCTCTTATAAATTGAATGATGAAAACCAAGTTAAGATGATGATGATGATTAAGTAAGAACTAGTAAAAAAGGATAAAAACAAAGTCAAGTTAGGGTTTGTTTTACCAGTGATGAAAGGGATGAGGATGACTGAATTAGAATGACTTTTTTAGGTAACAAAAGGATTTGATTGGAGAAATTTCTGTCTTACCTTTTCAGTATTCACATTCATTCAGGAATTATTATGGATTAAATTTTACTCAGCAAACAGCAATGTCTATATAAATCTAAATTTGAATTTACAAATCAGTTTATAACAGAATACAATTTGTTTATTAAATCAATTTGATTTAGTTTCCTTGGCTCAAAATCCAGTGGCATGTAGTTCAATCATGGCTTTCAGGCTGTGTAAAGTTTTCCTCACAAAGATTCGAGATCCTACAAAAAAAGTTATAGCATTGCATTAGTTATGTTTTCAGATTTGATACTTGATTTATAAAGGTAAAGGTCACTCAAACACAAACCTTTGTTTGAAGGAAGTTCATTATCAAATGAGTTAGCTCTGATTTTAGTTGATATTCAGTCATATTTCAACCCATAACAAAATCTAATGATCAGGCAAAGAATGATGATTGTAGGTTCTGCCATCCTCGAAATATTGAGGCTGACAGAATTGAGATAACTTTTGATGAATCGAAGTGACCTCTTGTACAGCAAGAGAAAATTTTATTTCCCGAAAAATGGATTTTTTGGTTGTTCATCGAAAGTTACATCAGTAGAACGAGTTCCATGAAAAAATCTGCTTCCATAATTGAATAAAAGGCGATCCAAGTTTCACTTCAGACTCGATTTTCTGGAAAACTGGAAATCGCGGAAATCCTCACATAGCATTAATGGACTCGGTCTTTATGTCCTACAAACCCACAAAGTCTTTAAGTCTCTAAATCGAAAGGAAAATTTCACTCTTTTTGGTTAATTTTGGCTTTTTAGTGAACAGGACGGCGAAAGTCAAAATAGCAAAAGCCATTTGAGCGAAACTCCTCCAAGCTATCTTTAATTTAAGCAAATTAAATCTCTTTGTTACAAACACTTTAAACAGATTAAATGGATCGGAGTAGATTCAATTGGATTACAAACATTGCAACTATGAATTTCGCTATTATATTGGCTCGCGTCTTTCGTCCAGGCCCTTGTTAAAATCCTTTCAGTTTAACCACAATTTTTACACATAATTTGATACACCGACTTTGTGTGCTGTATAGACGATTAACTTGAAAATAGAGTACATTTGAGTTCAATTTCACTCAAAATAATGTGAAGCTATCAGAAAGGTAAAATAATTGTTTTCAAAAAATAATCACTTTTTCTATCAGTATTATATTTGAACTTTGTGATTATTAACATAATAACTTTCGTTCAAAAATAATAACCTGTAAAAAATATGATAAAAAATATTTACTTTCCTCTTTTTTAATCTCAAGAGAATGCCTTGAATATTATGACTTTTTTGCGTTAAAAAAAAGGTGTAACATGGTTATCTTTTTGTATCGAATCCATTGAAATAAAGTAATTTTCATGAATTTCTTTCAACATTTTGCATTGAATTCTCAGGAAAAAAACTTAAATAGTAAAGAGAGAGGAAAATGGCGAGAGTAAACAGAGAATAAATAAATTGAAAATTAAAATGTGTTTACCATCTTTAGTTGTTACCAGAATTTTTTATCGAGAGTCTCAAGTTATGCATACCGAGAATAACACAGTAGTGAAGGATGAATCTATGAAATCGTCGTGATTTATAATTTCCAAAGTTGAGTTTGACAAGTGGAAGATGTTAAAGATGATGATGATGATGTTACCTATAGCTTGACTTATAATCATGAAGTGGTTCACTTTCACAGAAGTATATAACTTTGTTACTAAAAGAGGTTAAATAATAGAGATGACAGGCGCTATAAAGGTAAATTTGATTGGATTCAACTTTAATTCAAATAGCAGAGGAGTTAACCAGATGACGGTGTTGAAGATGATCGAGATTATGGAAGATTAAATTGAATAACAAAATGAAAAGGGTTAATGTGACGAGGAAAACAAATAAAAATAATGAAAATACATTTCGATTAATCATTGAGCGTTTAATTGATATCAGATATTGAGACTCAGATCCATATCAATCCATAAAATAAGTCTAATTGATACAAAGCAAAAGATGTCAGTCTCTTCTGGCTCGATTAAAAATGTAAAAACGTAATTAGGATTGTTTATTTAACGTAGTTTTGTTTGAGTTAAATTAATTGGTAAAATTGAACCTGATTAATCCACAGTTAAATTGCCTTTTAGTTAGCTATTGTGACCTATCAAAGGTAACTACCGAAGATGGTCATCGAAGAGTTTGCTATAAGTAATTGTAAAAAGTGCATTGGGAATAATCTGGAATATTTGGACTTGAATATAAAAGCTGAAAGGTAAGAAGATAATAATAATAATAATACAATGATGGTCAATTTTTCTTTTATCTTTAGCATCATTTGAATCAAAGTGTCTCCAGAGAAATAATATTATCAAATGGATTAGTCAAGTTAATGGTTCTTTTAATGCGTCAAAAAAGCCCGATGAATCTCGCCTAATCTCATCTTTAACATCTTTACATGCACCCTTAAAACAGAGAGAGAGAGTTGACAATGATTTCAATTGTTAATAATCTTGATCATTAATAATTAACAGTGATTTTCAAAGTGGACACGTGTTAATCTTTTCCTGGATCGTCATAATTATCGCCATATTTGCTGCATATACCAATTCAATACCTGGTAATGGATTCGCGACTCCTTTTATAAAAAAATTTTCAAGTCAATTCAACATACGATGTTTGACAAACTCTTCAACCCACTATCAACACAAACACGAACAATATGCAATAACTTCCGTTATGATTTCAATAGATGTTAACAGAAGTAGTAGAAGCAGCAATTGAATTGTCAACAATCTAAAGCCACAACCTGTTAAAGTAAATAAACCCTGAGATTTCACCATCTAATGTGGTTTCACCGTCATCAAGCCTGTCTTTGTGTTCCTACTCTACATTTGCCAATCATTCTTCCTGTTAATATAACAAGTAGGTAAGAATGTATTATTATGATGATTATTATTTATCTCTTTTCTTTTGCTCGGCCTCTGAAAGATATGTGAAGATGAGACCATTTTTCTTCCTGTTTTTCAACCAGAAATGTAGAGCTAAAAAGTGAATTGAGTTGAAAAAAGCCTAAAAATGGTGTAAATTTAACTGATACAAATAAAAAGTAAAGTTGAATCTAAAATGAATGGGTTTTACTTGAAAAACATGAAAATTTACTTGCTTTCACTATTTTCATGTTTCTCATCTTATCATTCATATCTATTTCTGTAAAACATTTTTACACTCAATATTAAGCTTTATACATTTTTACATCAAAAAAGCCCAAATATTTTACTTATTTTTGTTTTTTTTTATTTTGTTGATTTTTCCTCTTATTCAAAGGTTCGCAAAATATTCAAACATGGATGTAAAAGAGCAAACAGATGGAAATGGTTAATGTTCATGATTTCAGACTGAATCACACCAAGTAAGTCACCAAAATTTTCATAATATATTTCAATTTGTTCTCATCTTTTTCTCTTTTTTTTATTAGAATCAATCCCAAAGTGACCCTAAAGTGACCTTTCCATTCTCAATGAAACATTTTGGACTTACGGACTCTGAGATTTTGTTTTATTAACCATTATTGATAAACAAATGGATGAAACTAGATTGAAAATAATGGACATAAAAAACAGCAATAATCACCATAATCGTCATCAATGATTACAATAATGGCTTTTTCCACTAATAACGCAATGTTTATGTGAATGGTTATGATTACAATAACAATCTTGATAATAGTAATAATCATAATAATATCAACATGAGGTCAACTCGAGTGACTTGGTCAGTCTAGATTAACATTGAAAACGCGAAATGTTTAAATAGCCACAAGTCAATATGTTTACAATAGAGGACAAATTTTTTAGTCTTGTAAATTTTGATTCCTTGCAGATATTTTTTTGATTATTCCTGTTATTATGGTAATAATATAATCATAATCATTTTAATACTCATCATTCTTAGCTTTTCCATAACCTCCCATTACCACCCATTTACCCTCCTTCAATCCTCCTTTTATCTCACCAATAATGAAGATATAATAAGAAACTTCACTCCAGGGTTACTCAACTTACTTCAACTACATAATACATATTCAAATAATCACAGCTTAAATATCAATGTTGTTGTCGAAAGATGAAAAGTAAATGTAAAAGTGAAACTCACTTTTGTTGATATATTTTTTTTGTAGAAGACCAAAAACATGACAAGCAAAAGTGTCCTTTCAAGCTTAAACATCATGTATATTTTGTTAGTTGAATGGTCATGGTAATGGTCATCGAATCTTAGTGTTGTGACTTCTTTGACTGGTCAAGTTAACACACTTGAACAATAAAGACTTAAAATAACATACCTTTTATCAACAATAAAAACATATACATATTAAGCATAATAATAGCAATATCTAATATACATTATAATATGTGAATCTTTCAATTTTTTATTTGCTGCTGTACCAAAATAAAGAGAGAGACTTCTGTAAATGCAGTTGAAGCTTTTGGTCAATTGGCTTGTTAGAAGATAATAGACTTTAGTCTATTTCTTGAGGTGGACACTTGAATAATAAACATAAACCATATTTAACAATATTATTATGATTACTATTATTGATAGAGTTGTTGTTTACATGCATATTAGGATGAGGTAAATAGGTATAAAGATTATTTTGTTATGGATAAGTGAAGAGAGCATTCAACTGTAATTGATGGACTCGTGTAGGTCAAATTGAGGTGATGAAAGGCTAAAATTGATGTACATATGAACAAGCTAACATGTTAGATTATGATGACCTTTACCTCCTCCTAAGGTTTTCACAAAATGTCCAGTATTTACTTTTAATACTCTTTATTTTTTAACTTGTCAAAGAGACTAGCAAAAAAAAGGTTCAAATGTTAACATTGATAAGATTGGACAGTTTATTTTGCCCGCGAGTTACAATCTCTTGGCAACAATGAAAGTCTAACATCGCCCTTTTCACTTCAACAGCTGTAATTAATTACACTTTTACTTGGATTCAGTTGATTAAGATTAAATAGTTCAACTTTTATCTTCAAGCTTTTTATTCAATGATCACTGATCAACCAACATGCCATAATCATCGGTATCATCACCATTTACATAACCCTCTTGTAAACCATTACTTACTAGGCATATAAGTGTCAAAGAGTAAAACATTTAGATTGTGATAAAAGTCTGTGGGAGTTTAAAATGATGTTTTTTTATGTTATTTCATGTGAGTGAAATATAGTAAAGTGTATCTACTATCTTCATATTTGTCATCATCATCATCATCGTCGTCTTCGTCTTTATCTTTGTTGTATTAAGAGGGAAAAAAGTTACACTCAACTCACTTGGCAAACTCATTTTTCTTTCACTTAAATTGTACTTACTTGTTAGGTAAAAGATGATAGTGAAAGTAGGAAATGTAATCCAATTGGGTTTCCATTTAATGTTGTTGTTTTTTGTTGCTTGTTGATGTTGATGTAATGCAATGTTCATCAATCCGCAAACATGTTACATTAAATGACATACAATGACAATGAATCTTCACATCAAAATATCGACCATCATCTCTTATCTCCATCCATTCTACTCTATAACCAGTTACCTATCTTTGTTATTCATCTTCATTCCTCTTACAACTTACCTTACAACATCATTTTATTTTACTTTTTATACACTTTACTTTTATCCTTTTCTCTCTACTATTTATCTCAACTTTACATCCCTATTGATAATCAACTTGTTAACCTTATTTGTTTTTATTAACCAATAGATTTATATCATTCCCATCATTAGACAACAGTAAAATTAGTTTACAGCCATTATGCTCTATAAAATGAAATTAAAATTGTCTCTTATTCAATTATGAACAGTGTCTATTATTAATTTGTTTCAGATGTGTAAAGTGATGATAGTTATTGACTTTGTCAGTTACAAATTGATAAACAAAAAATCCAAAATTACGATTAAATTAATTTGATTCAAAAAAAGCGCTTTCCATTAGTTATGCCATCTGATGAGCGTATGCAGCTATTAACTGGCGGTCAAAGACAAGCTGCATGTTGCACCATCCATTAAAATGACAACCATCCATCACATTTAATTTGATTGTTATGGGTTTTTAATTCATTCTGATTTGCTAATCAGTCATTTTGTCACCTTTAAACTATGTTAAATCAACTGGTCCTTTATGTGTTAAGTGGCAATTATTAAAGCCACTTGTGTGTCTTGACTTTTTACCAAAACCTATCTTTCAGTATAAAAGATGTGATTTGTGTGAAATTTTTTATTCCATCGTTTAGCTGTTTATTAAATTTTATATTTTCAACCAATTTTTATACACTTATCAGGCATTTGAACAGTTATTGGAATTTTCAGCCAAATATTGTTCTTGATGGTAAAGGTAAAGGTAAAATTTTGTTTTCACAATTTCCACTTCTATTTGATCATTTATTGATATCTTTTTTGTTTCTCTTTTAGCAGTTACCATGAATTATAAATTGTTTAAATATAATACTGTTTCTCAACTGTCGTCAATTATCAGGAGATTTATCGGTGCTTAATTTAGCTGATTAAAGTTGAATAATCACTGAATATTTCATTTACGGATATGATATGTGGAAAAACTCTACTGATTTATCTTTACTTTTATAAATTCAGCTAAGTCCGATTAACCATTTTTTTCCCTCCTCATCAACTTCAATAACCCTTTTAAAGGCTTAAACCATAAGCTCATTCATTTGTTATTATTGTATTAATGTTGCAACTATTAATAACATAAAAAAACTTTTCCACTCTTCATATTTTGATTTTTATCTTCTCAATTTGTCTCAAATTTACGCAACCATCTGAACTCATTTTGACGATTGTTGGGATTAATTTTGTTACACCAGATATAAACAGATCGATATTTTTCCTTATTCATAATCACAATAATCAAGATGATGGAATCAATCTTATTCTGTGGATGCCTAAAAAAGGGAGGATAAAAAAGCCAAAGATCCATTGAAAGATCAACAGCAACAATTTGATAGATTCAAATGTTAAGTTAATTGGTAAGTAAAGTTGATTATTCTGATAGCGAAATATTTACTGATAAAATAACATGATAAGTTGATGACAATAAAACTAAAACATGAGCATATGTATCAAGTAATTGACTTTTTTTTAAATAGACACAACAAAGAGTGACTATTCAAGTTTGATTTTCATGTCTTGTTCACCATCAACTTCAACATCTAAAATTGTCTCAAAGTTTCATTTGAATTTACGATTTGAATGCATTACATCTTTTTTTTCAAACAACAATAGCTAACAAAATAGACTAACATAAACATTTCTTTCTTTCTTTCCTTTCTTTTTAGCCACCCTCTTGTGTTGTTTTTGCCCACCCCAGTTATTATTGCTCTTGACTCTCAAATCAGTTGTCAAGAGAGTAAATGATATCGCTTTTGGCTAGTTGACGCTCTTTTGTGTATAACTTGAATCCAACTTGGTTTATGTGCATATTGGTAATGGGTATGGTTGAATACCCATTCGAGCATCATTTTTAAATCAACTTGAAGAGGATTAAATCATCTCAAGAGGAGCTCTGTTGATGCTGATAAACTTAGGCATAAAAACCTGACGAAGCAGGAAAGAGTGGCCTTCAGAGGATTCCTCAACTATCGCGCCCATCAGCTGATTCAGTCACAAAAAAGTTCATCCATGAAGTAGGAAATGAAAAAGATGTCTCGACGAAAATCAATAATGTAAAGCGAGGATCAAAGAATATCAGAGAAGGAAAGAAAAATGATCAGGGAAAAGAAAATGATGATTAAAAGGACGAGGGAAGATGATGGTAACATGATAGTCAAATCAAGCGTCTTGATTATTAAAAATGGAAGACTATTTATTGTGTCACTCTATTATTAACCATCAATATTTAGACTTTATAAACCCATTGAAAACCTTTTTTGTGACCTTTTCTAAAACTTTCTCTTTCTCTTCAGTTGTCTCTTGTGAATATGAATATAAAGATTGGAATTATCGGAGAGGATCAAAGATGATGAGATAGAGAAATGAGGCTGAGATGTCACCTCGACATTCAATAGCAACAATTAATCCTAGATCCTAGTCTCATCCCCAAAGGATCTTGCTAAAAGGGACTGTCATATTTCACTAATCTTTCTTCTCTTTCTTCTCTTTCTCTTTTTCCACTTTTACTCTTTACCTTCATCATCCTCCTCCACCACCTCCTCCTACTTTTATTATTGTTAAACTATTCAACATCAAGATATCAATCGAAATTTCCCCTCCTTTTTCTGATGATGATCAGGATCAGCATCGTTTACCAATTATCAAAACCATTTACTACTTAACATTTTTGCTAATTCAGATTCCCCTGATGAAATTGAGTGTCCATCATCAAACAACATCAACACACAAAAAAGTCAATTCATCCAAATCTGTTCATCTCTCTCTCTCTTCCTCTTCCCATCTGTCTATTATTATATTCACTGTTGATGTTCATCCTTATTTATTGTTGTATCTAATGACATTATCTTAAATCATTGTGCTTGATCCTCATTTATTTATCATTTTAAATCTTGAAGGTTGATTGTTTTAGTTTAGACTCCAAACACAACTCCAACAATAATTTCTATTGATGATAATCAATTAAGATGGATTACCTTTCTTTACCTTTGATTTACACTTGTACAGCTTTAAGTTTGTTGCCAAATAGACAAAGTGTTTCACAATTAATATTGAGTTGAATCAATTATGCTTGAAATTTACTGAAATCAATGAACTTGGGAAGCTAGATGAAATGCTTTTAATCAAAACAATAAGAATAGAAATAACATTTTCAGGGACAATTTTTCAGAGTATTTACAAGGAACAAAAGCAAAGATTGTAACAGAAAAGGATTAAATACTTTATCTTTATCCAGTTGATGGTTAAACACAAACATCATCTTTAACAAGAACAACAATTGAGTTGACAAAAATTGAAGGTTTTGTCAGGTAAAAATGCTTATTGAGAAGATAATTTATTTTTGTTTCTTCTCAAGCTTTTGTTATCTTCCTTTATTTTGGTCCTCTTTTTCATGGAAGACTGGAAAAGTCATTTTTAAAAGAGTGATTAAGGAAATCTAATCCTTTTATACTTATAGTAGGTTAATCCTAACCTCAAAATATTAATTGGATTGAGATAGATAGAGTTGAAGGGTTTACATTCCCCTTTGGGTCAACAATGATAAATAACGAGAATGACATCAATTTATTATTTACCTGTTAAGTTAAATCATTGTTAGCAGCAGTTAAAAGCTTACAAACAACTTAAAATTGTTAACAAAATTATCTCTCTCTTTAAATATGTCAATGAACATAATTAGAGCAAACAATTGACCACCACTTAATTTGAGAAGCAAACGTTTAACTAATCATTATTAACTCCATTTCATCCTGTTTCTGGGATTTTTACAAAAATATTATTCACAGCAAAAATAAAGGGAAAATCATCTAAACCAAACAACTAACGGTTGTGTATGTTAATAAAGCAAAGTACAAAAATATAATTAAGCTATATTTTTAACTGTATTTTGTCATTATTTTGGGAAAATCTAAGTTTGGGTAAACAACAATTTACTAGATTAACTAAGCAGTTTAACATGAAAGAAATAATAAATGAATGTACGATGAAATATGAAACTTAATGTCTAACTAATGATTTTGTTTTTATCGAAACAAACCAAACCAAGTAGAAACCATTTGAATAAAACAAGATACATTATTGAATGATAATGATGTTATCTGAACTCCCAAGCAACAAGCAACATTCGTCATAATCATAATCATCATGGAGAAAAACAAAATAAAGAAGAAAAAAGGAAAGAAACAGGTTAATATCAAATATAATATGTATTCTGAAATTGTTGTAATTGAGGATTAAATAAGAGCACAATGCTAATTAGCTAATTGATTCCCAGGTAATACAAATTGGGACACACTTATACGATAATATACAAAAAGTCACAGCATCACAGTCACTAAAAGTTATTAAAAAACAAACAAAATAAAGTAATCAAATCAACAAAATCAAAGTGAAAAAATAAACATCAGAAAGGTCAATATTGATAGATCCAATGACTGAGATCCGATACTGATTTCAATGTATTGATTTTAAAACGATGTATCGTTAATTTATTTGTAAACAAAAGACAAAAGTATTATGATCATGATTTTGATTTAAATCATTCAATCGTTGTAATCTCCATTCTTTCCCTGTAACCTTTTAGCGGTAAATTATAATTGTCCTTTAACCTGCTACACTCGCTGGTTAACTCGTGTAACAATAATAACAACAATTGTGCCAATGAAGACAAAACAAACACGCTGACTGATATAATGTTAATAAGTAAAGCAACTTGGAGTAAATTGTATTGAAAGCTAAACATAATGTGAAACCCTTCAAACAGTGAATGTATTATAAATATCTACCTATTTGGGTATGTATATGCATGTATTATTACCATTATAATAGAGAGAAAGGAAGAAATTTTCTCTATTTTACTTTACCTTTTCTCTAAAATACATGAACGTTAAATCGATATTATTCATGTTCATCCAAAGGTAAATTATTATATTTATGTATTTTTATAAATTATTTCAACAGTAAATTTCAAGTTTACTTGTTGGAAGCAAAGTGTTTGAATTTACTTTAAATTGAACAAAAAAAGTACTATTATTGAGATACTAATACACTTTTGATTTTCATGTGAATCATGCTTATGTATGTGTGTGTATACATTTGTGTGCGCTTGTGTTTGTGTTTTACTTGATTTAAGATAAATTTACATTTCTTTTCATTAAATCATATCAAACGATAATAACAAACAAACAAACCAGTGCAACATCCGAATCAGGAAAGCAGTGATAATCAGTGAAAATAAAAAGGAACCACAAAAAAACATTCATCAAGCTTGACTAAACTTAAACATCAATTGAAACATCCACAAACCAAATAAACAGTAACTCTCAAAGGTAAAAATTTTCATCCTTTTCCTCCTTTCAATGTTTAGCTTTTATCATTATTAACTTATTAAAACCGTTTTTTTCACTTTTTTCAATTAACAGATCAACATTTTAATTGGCTCCTTTGATTGCCAGCAATCTTGCTTCAGTAAAATACTCATTACCACAATCAATGAACATCCAGTGACTATGAAACGTCTATTGAGTTACAGACTTTAGTGAATATATACAAAGTAGATTTACATTAAGTAAAAAATAGACTTTAATAGACGTTAATATATTGTTATTATATTATGTGATATTAATATTAAATCAACAATAACCTTATTAACAATCAGAGAAATGATTGAAAAAATACAAAAATTTGCAAATGTAAAATAATGTAAAGCATAAACGGATCAATATGTTTGGAGTTTATTTTACAGCAAAAAAGGTTTTTCCTTTTTTTGCATTGTTATGTGTTTACTTATGATTTGTATCATTGATGGTTTAACAAATCTAATCAAATAAATTTGATCCTTGATCAATAAACTCAGCTGGATACAACAACAATTTGTGTAAAATTGCTTGTTTAACATTGCTATTAACAGACAATCAGACATGAATTTGAAAAGGTATAAAAAATGTATTAAAGCTAATGGACTTTATCAACAGAGTAAATTGGAAAGCAAAGGAATCATTTCAACTAATCTCAACATTATTTTCATCATATTTATCATCGCATTCATCAACATTTCCATCATCATTTTCATCTTCATCACCAATAGTTCAATGAATGAAAAGGAAAAAAATGTTGAAAAGAAAGTCTCATTTTTATGGTTGAACCAATTTTACTTTATTTGATTTAGCTTTTCATCTTTGATCACTATTAACGGGAAATAATATTTTTCCGGTTAACATTATTTTGATTAGTAAAGCATTTATCAAATTACTTGGTAAAGGTTCACCATTACTTAACCAATTTCAATTGCGCTCACCATTAAAACAGTATTTGATTTAAACACAAAACAAAACCTTTACGTGAAACTTGATTGAAACCCATTTTTGGTTTTTTTGCCTTGATGAGCTTTTCCCTTGAAATTCATCTTTATTCACAATTTAAAGTGTCAACTAATTGATTTAATTGTTATTCAAAAGATGTAATTCAATAATTAGTGAAAGATTAATTGATGTTAAAACTGAGGCAAACAAGGATTGATTGGATAAATTGTATTGCCGGCATAAAAGTAGCTCTTGAATAATGAATAATGTTCAAGTTAAGTGGATGTTGATGTTAATGATTTAATCATCATTATTATAATCAATTTGATGATCTCCATCACAATTATCAAATGTTTTATTTGCAAGGAATAGTGACTCACAATAATAATCTTTCCAGCTTTTATGATCATTTCAAATTAATAATCTTTCATCTTTATTATCATCATTTTTTTCATTGTATATAATGTATAACATTTTTTTTATCATTTTCAATGCTCCTTTAACTTTATTCATATTAAATATCATCAAGGGATGAGGATAAAGATGAAATGGACTTGAGGGAAATGTTGATAAATTGGTTATTCTGGTTAAAATGTTAGACTTTTTTAGGTACATTTTTTGTTTGTCAATGTAAAAATGATATTACCTTTTGTTTGTCTGTTGTATGAAAATCTTTTGGTTTAATGATGCTTATTATCATAATCATTATTGTTTATTATTATGGTTTTGTTACATGATTTATAAATTATATTTAATAATAATAAATGATTATAAAGATCATCTTTTTAAAGGTTAATCCATTTTCAATTTGCCCGGTTTAAAATGATTTGTTAACTTATCAACTCCCTCATTGGTTCATTTTGGTTGTCTGGACCAGACAGTCTGGTTCAAAGAGTAAAGAAGAAGAGACTGCGATTGATGATATCCAGATTTGTTGCTGGATAATTGCACAAGTGGTGCTAGTAGTCAGAGATCCTTTCTTTTCTCTCTCTTTTTAATCAAAATTAACAAATTTAATCAGTTAAACAAAATTGATAATTATTGAAAATTACAAAGAGAAAAAGAAAGTCTCTTACTACTAGCACCACTTGTGCAATTATCCAGCAACAAATCTGGATATCATCAATCGCAGTCTCTTCTTCTTTACTCTTTGGTCTGGTTACTTTGTCTTTTGGTTATCTTTTTGCAATTCATTGTTTAATGTTACTTAATTGAATTGATTAATATTGATGTATTTAAAACTTATTTTACCATGTTTACTGATTTTTTAGATTTTCCTGTCCTTGTTCTTGTCGTGGTTAATGGATAATCAACAATAATTTAATATGTTATTTATACAGGACAATCCAATTATTGAATTTGGTTTCTCTACCTACTCATCAAAACAGCAAACCCATTATGTTTAAATGGTTCAATTTTCGGTAATTGTGATTACGGATGCTTTTAATTTTGTGGTTTAACAATACATCTCTTTTTGCTATCCTTTAGATTTATTTGGTTTTGATTTGGAGCCATATTTTGATGACTTATAAATGTATCAAATTTATTTCCACTGTTATTTGATAGTCAAATCAAAGCGTCTATCGACATTTCCCAACCAATTTTACATACATTTATGCTACTCTATTGACCAGGATAAAGTGGACTTGAGAAGTGACCGTTTTTCTGGGATAAATTCAGGATTTGGTTTGAACTCTGGACAGTTGCTGTATGCCCCCAACATGAATGAATAATTAATGAGCGATAACTCTTGTGCATTAAATGTGTAATGCACTTTTATACCGATACTTAAGAGTTTATTAGTCTCAAGATTAATCATCATCATTATTAACGTAATTCTCATCTTCTTTTTTCGCCATTATGTTGATCATCATCTTCACCGTTATTGTCTTCAATAGGTTAATCAGGTGAAAGCTTATGATAAGCTTTTTACTACTGTGACTCTGTTAACTCGTTATTTGACCAATTGAATGGTAAATAATTTCAACTCAATTTATGAATTCCTATTCGTTCCAGCCAATTAACAAAGTAAATAATAATAATAGTCATAATACATAATGGTAACAAGATGATGGTGAAAGTAAAAAGAGGGAGACAACCGAAAGCAAAGAAAGTAAAATGTTTCTATTGATGAATAAGGTAATATTAGGTAAAACTATTTATTACATTCATCATGATGATAATGTCTTGGAGGAATTGAAAGGTAAGAAGAGACAGAGAAGGAGACAGAAAAGTGAAAGGTAAAAAGATGACAAGAAGAAGAAAGAAGAGAAAGAAACAGAAACAGAATGAAAGAGAAACTGTGTTTTCCTATAGAAATAGGAGGTTCCTCTCTTGAAAAGGATGATGTCGGATGAAAATCATCCTGGGCGGAGATATGATGATGAAGTGATGAACCAATGAAATAGAGTGAATGCTGGTTAATTCAGCATCTTTCACCGTCATCCTTATCTTCATCTCTCTCTCTCCTAATCATCTCAATAAACAAACAAACAGACAAAGGTTGTACACTTAATTTTGTCAAGTTGAACCCAATATCCATATGATGAACAAATGACAACCAGTTTACTTAAACTCAACTCCAATTGAACAGCAACTCGTTACAAGTATCATTTGCTTTTTCAACCGACACTTTGTATTTCTTACTAACTGTTTAATATTAAATAGAATGAATTAAAATGATTAAATTATTGTCCACCTTTCAATTAATCACATTATTCAAGTGTCATTTTGTTAATTTGTAATGAGCGCCACAATTTTCTGGTTTGCCTCCTAAATTGTTTGTTTACACGTTTGCTTTTCCCTTAACCCTTGGTTACCATGGAGGATCGACCTGAAGAAGGTTTGTGTTCCAATGGAAGTAGCCCTTCTTTAATTGCTCAAAGTGAATTAAATACTGGTTCAACCACCACCAATACAATTAACATTTCATCAAACGGTGGTAATAATGTTAACAGTACTTCTATTAATAGTAAATCGTCTCGATTATCATTTAGCATAAGTCGTCTACTCTCTAAATCATCTTCAACACCACCAACAACAACCTCAGATTGTGTCCGAAGCTATGGTAAAGGTTCAACATCAATCATTGTTACACCGACAACAACTCAATCCAACAAATCAAACTCATCACCATCCATTCCTGTAACAATAATACCCACTTCTCCACCTTCATCGTCCCTATCATCATCTTCCTCCTCGTCATCTTCACCTTCCTCTTCACTGTCAAGGATAACAATGATAACACCGTCAACCATAGGAAACAATACCAACCATATTGGCTCCAATGCTAATAAAGATATGATTATTGATGAGTTTACGAGAAATGGTAAAATGAAAGGTAATCTTAGTCCAATTTCGTTTGGAAATAAATTGTCAACAACTTTGATCACAGGGTTAAATCATTCAAATCATGGTAACAATCGATCAACATCAACAACACCTCCACCTCTATCATCATCATCATCTTCCTCTTCATCCTCATCAACAACAACAGCATCATCAGCAACAACAACAACAATAACATCCTCATCAACCAATGGACCAACAATCAACCCATTGAGATTTGATGGTTCCTTGAAAGGTTGTCCTGATAAAGATTTTGACAAATCTAGTAACCACTATGATAATGATAATTTAATGGCTTCCAATTTTTACCATCATTACATTACCGATGCTTTTAGTGATTCAATGTTGAGACTTCATGGTGTTCATCCTCACCATCCCCACCATCCTCATCTTTATCATCCCCATCCTACAATGACAAATGGAAATGATTCAAATTCAATTTCAAATCATCCAAGATCCTATCAATCCAGTAAGACTTTAATAACTTGAAACTTTTCCTTTCAATGTTTCCCTTTCCTTATTTTTTCAGGTTCATCCTGTAATCTAATAATATTCAGTAATAGCATAACAAGTGTGCTTTGATCAAGTTATTAGTTGCTTGACAATTGATCCAAATTGACCATAATCAAGTTGACATTGATAAACATGTTGTAGGTGAACCTCATCTATTGAATAATTCAGTTTAACCCAACTACCCAAGGGTATTAAATATTCAATATTTATTAACTTACATGAGGACTACTTACAACTTGTTAGTTAAACATTCATTAATAAATTGTGATAATCAATTGGATATTATAATAAGCTCTAACCTTTCATCTGTCCAGTCCTAATTAACCAGTTCGTCAGTATAAAGTTTAATCGGTTACAATGGAATCAATTGTGACCAGATTAAGTCCTAATACAACATTAATTATTACGTTGATACAACAATCAAAAGCTATAGATTGTCCAATTATACTTGAATAACAATGATGTTGATTGTTGATGCTTATTTTGCTGCTCAACAATTTAACATTATAGCTTTAATCTGAAATCCACTTTTAATTAAACATCTTCTATCATAAGAGGATCAATCACTCATTAATTATTAACCATTTAGGATGTTCATTAATTTAAGATTCAATTCAACGTTACTTTATTTGGTAATTTTTTCCCTCTAATCTTATTTCACTATTAATATTTACGTTAATTTTAATGATAATCACTTTTGATTTGATTTACTTTCACAGACTTAATTGACTTTTTTGTGTCACTCTGTTAATGATTCAATTAATATGCTACGGCAATTTCATTGAAAAAAAAGACTGATTATTGCATGGTTTACATTAATTTAGTGTAATCAGTTAATTTTCAAGCTTTACTTATTTGTTTTCAACCCAAGGAAAACAATTTAATTATTTTGAGACTTGAATTACCATTATTATTAGCTAATTGTTTTGCATAAATATTGTACCAATTAACTGGTTAAATTATGGTTGAATCAATTTAATTTCATTCCTTTGTTTTCCACAATTAGTTTATTGTACCTTCATTGATACTTAATTTCAATGTTTAATCATATTAAATATATAATTAAGATAAATAGTAATTGTCATTCATTAAAATG